GATTGATTGGAGCCTTTGGATCCCCTTGACTGTATGCTCTCCAAGGTGTTCAAGTCCTTCCAGCGCCTGTTCTGCCTGAGCCCCAAGCTCTGGAACTTGTTTACTCTCTCTGACATAAAGTACTTGTTCTCCGAACTGCCGAAGTTCTTGAAATCCTTTCGCCGCGTCCTCCCCTAGCGGTTGAAATTTTTGGACTGATTCACCAGCACGGACTTGGATTGACTGCAGCCTTTGGATTCCTTTCACGGCCTCGACTCCAAGCTGCTCAAATTGTTCAAGCCCTTGTTCTGCGTGAGCCCCAAGCTGTAGAAGGTGCTTACATTCTTTGCCATCGACTACTTGCTCCGCAAACTGTTGAAGTCCTTGCAATCCGTTCGTGGTCTTCTCTCCTAGCTGTTGTAGTAGTTTGACTGATTCCCCTGCCTGGTCGCGGATTGATTGAAGCCTTTGAATCCCCTTGACTGTATGCTCTCCAATCTGTTTGAGTCCTTCCAGCCCCTGTTCTGCGTGAGCCCCAAGCTCTAGAACTTGTTTAGTCTCTCTGACATAAAGTACTTGTTCTCCGAACTGCCAAAGTTCTTGAAATCCTTGCGTCGCGTCCTCTCCTAGCCGTTGAAAGTTTTGGACCGATTCACCAGCACGGTCTTGGATTGACCGCAGCCTTTGGATTCCTTTGACGGCCTTCTCTCCAAGCTGCTCGAATTGTTCAAGCCCTTGTTCTGCGTGAGCCTTAAGCTGTAGAAGTCGCTTACCTTCTTTGCCATCGACTACTTGCTCTGCAAACTGTTGAAGTCCTTGCAATCCGTTCGTTGTCTTCTCTCCTAGCTGTTGAAGTTGTTTGACTGATTCTCCTGCCCGGTCGCCGATTGATTGGAGCCTTTGGATCCCCATGACTGTATGCTTTCCAAGCTGTTCGAGTCCTTCCAGCCCCTGTTCTGCCTGAGCCCCAAACTCTAGAACTTGTTTAGTCTCTCTAACATTAACAACTTGTTCTCCAAACTGCCGAAGTTCTTCAAATCCTTTTGTTGCGTCCTCTCCTAGCCGTTGAAAGTTTTGGACCGATTCACCAGCACGGTCATGGATTGACTGCAGCCTCTGGATTCCTTTGACGGCCTTCTCTCCAAGCTGCTCAAATTGTTCAAGCCCTTGTCCTGCGTTAGCCCCAAGCTGTAGAAGTTGCTTACATTCTTCGCCATCGATTACTTGCTCCGCAAACTGTTGAAGTCCTTGCAATCCGTTCGTTGTCTTCTCTCCTAACTGTTGAAGTTGTTTGACTGATTCCCCTGCCTGGTCGCCGATTGATTGGAACCTTTGAATCCCCTTGACTGTATGCTCTCCAAGCTGTTCGAGTCCTTCCAGCCGCTGTTCTGCCTGAGCCCCAAGCTCTAGAACTTGTTTAGTCTGTTTGACGTTAACTACTTGTTCTCCGAACTGCCGAAGTTCTTCAAATCCTTTTGTTGCGTCCTCTCCTAGCCGTTGAAATTTTTGGACTGATTCGCCAGCACGGTCTTGGATTGACTGCAGTCTTTGGATTCCTTTGATGGCCTTGACTCCGAGCTGCTCCAATTGTTCAAGCCCTTGTTCTGCGTGAGCTCCAAGCTGTAGAAGGTGCTTACATTCTTTGCCATCGACTACTTGCTCCGCAAACTGTTGAAGTCCTTGCAATCCGTTCGTTGTCTTCTCTCTTAGCTGTTGTAGTTGTTTGACTGATTCCCCTGCCTGGTCGCCGATTGATTGGAGCCTTTGAATCCCCTTGACTGTATGCTCTCCAATCTGTTCGAGTCCTTCTAGCCCCTGTTCTGCCTGAGCCCCAAGCTCTAGAACTTGTTTAGTCTCTCTGACATAAAGTACTCGTTCTCCGAACTGCCGCAGTTCTTGAAATCCTTTCGTCGCGTCCTCTCCTAGCCGTTGAAAGTTTTGGACCGATTCACCAGCACGGTCTTGGATTGACTGCAGCCTTTGGATTCCTTTGACGGCCTTCTCTC